TACTCCTATATTGTATTAGTTGACGTCTATTCAGCGTCTGCTAATCTCTAGGCTCCTCCTCTCTCAGGCATTTATTTAAGTCCATTACATATATAAAGTCATATAATCCTTCCACAACACTATGAAGTAGGTTATGTTATTATACCCACTTTACTGACGAGGAAACTGAGTCACAGAGAAGTTTGGTGACTGACCCAAAGTTGCAAGGTTATTGTGTGCCAAACCTGGGATTTGAGTCAGATTTGTATGTTATACTCTTATCCACTATGTTTCATATAATAAATGCTGTAAAAAATGTGTATAGTAGCATATTATTGCTGCTGGGTGCGGTGGAGTTGTTTCCAATTCATATCTACCCTATATACAACAAAAGAAACTTTGCCTAGTCCTGTGCCAGCCTTAGGAAGAAGTGTTTTGTTCAAGACAGACTAACATGAAGAATTTTGTGTTCCATTGTAGAGAGGTGGCTTCTGACATTTGGATTCATTTCATGTATCAATGCCAGTATTTTTATCCTGCTCCACATCATCATCCATAATAGAAAGTAAAGGGAGCAAGCATGCAAGTACTTCCCCCTGAGGTTATCTTAGGGTAAAACCCAAACCAAACAATCCTTATCAGTTATTCCTAATTTTTTAAATGACATAAGCAAAACTCATACAAGCACTCATTATAGTAGAAAATGATATAAAATCATCTTCAATCTCACACACTTGTTGCATATCCAGCTATATGAGTAAGTGTGCGTGTGTACACACATATGTATATATTTGAAAAAGCAACTATGATTGTATTATATAAACTGGTTTTAATATGTTCTCACTTAAGTATATACATATATATGAAAAAAATTGACTCTAAAAAATTCATGGCTATTACAAACTATCTAAACGGTGAACCAAAACTAAACCCACTACCACTGAGTTGATTTTGACTCACAGTGACCTAGTGTAGGGTTTCCCAGGCTGTAAATCTTTTTGGAGCAGAAAGCCTCATCTTTCTTCAGAGGAGCAGCTGGTGGGTTTGAATTGCCAACTTTGCAATTAGCATTCCAATTTCAGAATGCTGGCTCTAGGTGAAGGCTAGAGAAAGACTCTGGAGAAAGGTCATGGTCTCCTTTCAACACCTGCAGGCTCAATATTTCTTGATCTTCCCCTGGACCTAGGTGTCTCTGGGTTAATGCGCTGGACTGCAAGATCAGTTTGGACTGCAAGGTTGGCGGTTCAAGCTCATCAGCCGCTCCTCGGAAACCTTATACAGGGTTGCTATGAGTTGGATCCAACTCCATGGCACTTAACAACAACCAGGTCTAAAGGACCCACTCCACTGCCAGCTTTTTTTCTTGCTTATAATAGATCCTTCTTCTCTGCTCACTTCTCTCCCCTTTTACCTCTTGTAAAATAGAAGGTAAGGAGATCTGGTAGTGTAGTGGTTACAAATTGGGCTGCTAACCTCAGGGTCAGCAGTTCGAAACTACCAGCTGTTTCGTGGGAGAAAGATAAGGCTTTCTGCTCCTGTAAAGATTTACAACCTCGGAAACCCTGTGCAGGGTCACTATGAGTCGGACCGACTCCACAGCACATAACCACCAACCATCACCAAAATGGAAGGTATTGCAGGTCACCAACCACGGGAAACTCCCTCACATTGGATTAATCAGGGTTGTGATGTGATTAAAGCTATTGCAGCCCACCCTTAATCCTTTTATTTATCACGTCAGATCACAGCATGAGCAATCATCACATAACTGCCACATTACATATTATATAACTGTCAAATCATTGAGAATCATACATAGCTACATTGACATATAGTTTTGGGGGACTGTGGTACCATGACTCCCATATGGTTTTATTTAGATTCAATTCAATCTATGACTATGGTATAGAGGGGTAAGAACTGGGGCTTTTGAGTTGTTTAGATTTAAGTCCTGACTGTGCTTGTTTTGCAGGAGCTCAACTCCAAGCAGGTTCACTTTGGATTCAGAGAAGGCAAAATCACTACCCAGGCATCCTGAAAGGGGATATATATCACTTTATTATCTGTCAAGAGCCACCTCAAGGAGAATCCGCACTGCCCCCCAGTGCTGCCCAGGCAGATATAGGTAGCAGAACAAAGAAGGCAGGCTACCAACTGTTACATAACTGACTTACATAAGTGGGTTATATGATGCAGGTGGTCCCCAAGGCTGATGGAATAAAGCTGTACACAAGGCCACTCACAAGGCCCTTGGCAAACAACTAGATCTAAAGAAGCTAGTACAAAGCTATGAAGAGGTAGATGTCCTGGTACCTCAGGCACATCTCCAAGAGCATACATACTTCCATGACAGTGGCTCTAGAGGTTAAGCACTAAATTGCAAACCACAAGGTCAGCAGCCTCATCATGGGAGAAAAATGAGGCTTTCTGCTTCTGCAAAGATACATAGCTTTGGAAGCTCTATCGAGGCTCATTATGAGTTGGAACTGACTCAGCCGCACTTAACAACAATGATGTGAACTGGGACATGGACAGGTTCACAGTTTTCTTACTTGTAAAATAGGTGTAATCAGGCAAAAGATGGAAAATGAATAAGAAAGACTAAAGAAATATTTCATGTGAATTATGGTGTTGGCACAGAATATTGAATGTGGACCGCAAGAAGAATGAATAACTCTGTCTTGGAAAAAAGGACAGGCAGAATGCTCCTTAGAAGAGAATGAGAAGACTTATCTCATGTACTTTGAACATGTTATTAGGAGGGACCAGTCTCTGGAGAAAGACACTGTGCTTGGTAGAGAGTCAGTAAACAAAAGGATGGAGTAGCTAAAAAGATGCAGTAGCTACAACAGATTAAAACATAGCAATGATTGTGAACGTAGCATAGGACTGGGTATTGCTTTGCTCTGCTGTGCATGGGATTGGAACCGACTAAACTGCACTTAACAAAACAACATAGTATTGCTATGAACCATGGTGGTACAGTGTTTAAGCACTTAGCTGCTAACAGAAAAATTGGTGGTTGCAACCCACAAGTCAATCCTCAGGATAAAGATGTGGCCATTTGACTTTCTGGAAACCCTATGGGCAGTTCTGCTCTGTCCTAGAGGGTCACTATGAGTTGGAATTGACAATGCAATGGATGTGACTTTTTTTGGAGAGGGGGAATGGTTTTTCTACAGGATAAGGCATGCTAAGTATAATGTGATTATAATATATGTATGTAGCAAATAAAACATAGCATTATATGTTAAGTCAAGAGATTTTACTGTCTAAAGGTGAAACGAAGTCATTTGGCTATAATCTTGAATATGAAGCCTTTCTTTGAAAAAGACAATATTTTTGTCTTTATATTATTTTACTGATAGAAAGTAGAGTGGTTGGAGAAAAGTTTAATAGGCCAAAGGGTGGAATGTATAAAGATTTATGAAGAACAGGAGGAAAAGTGGAGATGGGAGTTAGTTTTCTGTTTCTGGCTGGGGATTATTCTGTAAAAGCAAGCCTGGAGCAGAGGGAGATGGGTTATGAGAACATTCTATGCTCTGTGATAATCTTGGTGGGGTAAATGAAAAGCTTATCAAATGAATTGAACCATAGTCAGATTTTGTATCCTCTGTATATTGTTCAGTTTAAAAATCACTTTTGCATAAATGATCTCATCTGATCTTTGCAACAAATTTTACTAAGTAGCCAGGTCACTCTCTTTTGCTTACCAATATTTTAGAGAACAAATGATCTACACAAGTTTACAAAACTGGAATAAGCAGTAGTACTCAGATCTTCGGATGTTGTATCCAAAGTTCTCTCCATTACACGTTTATTTATCCCTTTATGCATTCAGTCATTCCAGAAACCTTTATTGAACTTTAGAATGTTATCAGGGTAACTTTGCCCCAGCCCCCATCCGCTATATAAACTGTTTGGTGGGGGCAATGGGGTGGGTGGTTAGAAATCTTTCAAAGACATTCCTGAGAAAACTTCTAGGGATGTTCGTCTGGATATACACTACAAAAGAACAACAGAGACCAGAGTAGTAAGAGTTATGGGATCTGTAAATTGGAATTATAGACAGTTTAAGGCACGATATGCATGAGGGAATCTTCCTGTGGAGAACACTGGATTGTCATCTCGGGTAGAATGTCGGGAGGTAAGAAAAGGGCGGCACGTGCCCCCAGGGGCTGCGAGCGGTGGATTGAGCAGCGGCATCTCAGCCTAGGAGTGTGATTGCGGCCCCGCGGCAGTTGAGGTAGTACGGCCAGCGTCCCAGCGGCGCCCGGCTCCTCCTTAACCCGCGCTAGGAGGCGGTGGCGGCGGCGGCCCGGCGGGCGGGGGAGAGGGAGGGGCACGGAGTGCGGCGCGGAGGCCGGGGAGGAGCCGGGGCCTGCAGCGGAGCCGAGCCGAGCCCGAGCCGAGCCCTGACACTATCCGTCCGCCTTCTGGCTCCCGGGGAACCCGGACTGGCCGGAGCCCGAGAGGTGGCAGCGCGGGGAGCACCACGCGCCGAAGGGAGCGGACGGGACGGGACTAAAAGAGGCGCTGCCGCCACAGTAGCCAGTGCCGGGAGTCGGGAGCCGCGGCCTCCCGGACCCTACTGCCCAGGCCAGCTCCGGGAGAGCGGGGAGTACGAAAACCCCACCCTCTGGGGCACCCTAGAAGCGGAGGCGGGAGCAGGGACGGGAGCATCCCCCTCCCGCTGTTGAAGAGACGACCCCTACCACTCGGGCGAGAGAAAGAAGAGACCCCTATAGGGGACGCGCCTCTCCTTCCTAGAGGCGAGGAAAATCCCCATACTGGCCGGGGCGGAGAGCCCTAAAAGTAGAAAGGGGTGATCTTTCTTAAAGGAAGCCGAGTGAGACCATCCCAGCTTGCCTTCACCCCGCCAAACACACACTCTCAGCAGTTCAGGACTTTTGAGGCAACGAGAAAGAAGGGTATGTCTATGGAGTAGGCACCTTCCATCCAATCCAGTACTCACAAGGAGAGAAGTTCTTACATTCAGAAGCAGAAAGCTCTCCAGGGAAAAGAAGAATCGGCTTTCAGCCATTCAGGAGCGGGGAAGACCTGCCCCTCAACTTCCTTGTACCTAGACAGTGGAACAGGGCAGAGCCCCTCCGCTCAGATCTCCAGCAGACAGAAAGAACCTTCCACCCCCGAAAGATCCAGTTTGGGGGGGAGGGGGACTCCCCCAAAGGGGAGGAGACAACTCCTGGTTGGGAGAGGCTCCTCCCCTCCTCCCCAGGGTAACAGGCAGGGTGTGGGGGGTGTGCCACCTTCCCCAGGTAGGACCTCCTTCGCCTCCCCCTCCTCCAGCCCCCACGCCTCATCTTCTGGGGACCCAGTTTCCCTCCTCAAATTGGGAGGCTCAACCAAGTACTGGAAGAGCCACTGAGGATGAGAACCGTCATCTGCTTCTGAAGAGGGGACTCCCATCAACCCCAAACTCCAGTACCAGGTGGTTTCCTCCTTTTGCTGGGGGGACCTTGGAGACAGGTTAGTGCATTCTTGCATTGCCTCTCTGTCATCTTTCCGCACTAGTGGGTGTAGGGGCTGAAGTGGGGGGCTCTTGGGTTCAATTGCTGTGCAGGGTGAAGTGATAACTCCCGATCCTTTGGGAACTGTGTTCTATGGAAACTTCTGGATTAGAACTCACATTTTGCTGCAGACTCTGAGAAATGGGGTTCTTAGTTTTTAGGGACGAAAGGAATGGGATTTATTTGAGGTCCCTAGGGAAGTGAATAGTTTCACGATGAAGGCAAAGAGGTGTTCCACAACCACTGCTTTTACAGAACTTCATGCTTACTGTGTATAATGATTGACACATTCCGCCACCAGACTCTCACACAGTCCTCCATGCTTGGCTTTCACTCTGAGAGTGGACCTCACTAAACTCATCGTGGCATCATGTGGCCTGGCCTTGCCCAGAACCTCTATTGGATTATCTTTTTGTACCTGTAACCCTAGGTCAACTTAACATTCTTCAGAGTTGTTTTCTTCAACTCATTGTGATTGGGTTGACAAGGAGGGCAGGCTTACCCCATCTCGGATACCAAGAGGCCTTCTCTCATGACTTTCCCATTTCTGGCTGGAGTGCATTCCTCTACCCATAAATACAAAGGGAAAATGGACATCCTGCAGGCCCCGAGGTGAGAAGACTAAAAGGGTCCAGGGGATGCCAACTCTAGGTTGAAGTTCTTCCCTGATGTATGCCCCAGTGTTCCATGGGGCTTCTGTTCTGGATAGAAAGAGCAAAATTCTCTTGAACCAGCTTCCTTCTAAGTAAGTTGACTACCAAGATGATTTGGAAACTTGACCCCTGAGGAGCTTTTTATGGGAGAGGAGCTTCAAAAAGTTTGTGGGAAAATTTTATTATCTTTGAATTCCATTTGTTTCCTCAAACTTTTGAAGACCCCTCATATTAGAGATCCTGCTCAGAAAAGTGCCTAATCTTATTTGTGGACCCTTGTATTTTAGTTTTCTTTCATAAGATAGGAGAAAGAATGATCACAGTCCAGACTTCAAAAAAAGTAGGAAGATATGCTGCTAAGAAATCCCTGTGGCTGAGCCCAAGCTGTTGTCAGTAGAGCTCTGCCTTTCGATCTTGGATTACTAGCTGGGAGTTTGCATTTGTCTTCCTGTCTTGTCATTAGAAAATACCTTATCTTCTGCAAGGAGAGTTATAGCTTGCAGCAATGTTCAGTGGGAAGTTTCACCTTACTTAGGCTTTTATGTTTCCCTCTTCTCTTTCTGTGTGGACCCTGGGTAGGTTGCAAATGTCCTTAAGTACCTCCACTTAGTCCTGGAACCCACCTGTTAAAAGTGGTATCTGAGTTTGGGTTATAATCTGCAGGTTTGTCTAACTGTGTTATAGAACAGTGTGCATATGTTTCTCAATTACAGTCTATGTTTGGAGGGGGTATTGTGCAGAGATAGGCATTTGTGTACTCTTCAGACTAAGCCTCCAGTTACTTATGTTTCTGGTAGGCTTCTAGAAGCAGGTGTCCCTGTGTCAGGACTTGGAGGAGATGCCAGTAAGGATGTCCACCTTGGGGAAAGGCTTGGCTTCCCCTGGCTATTGGAAGCACTCATGAATGGCAGCTCAGCACTCATCCTAAGCAGCAGGACTGTCCAGCCTTAAGCTGGGCCCACTACTCCTAAGGATAATAAGAGAGCCTTAAGAATTTGTGACTCTCGAAAGGCTCTTTACTCCAGAACCTCTCCCCTGGCTTTTTAAAAAAGCCTGAGTTAGTGTAATAGCAGCGTATTTCTTAAAAGGTAACTTACCAGATGCTGGAATGCAACTTTTTGAACAGCTCAGAGTGAACTGTATAACCACAACTCCAGGTATACCATCACCAATCACTTTAACTGGTTTGCTTACATTGAGTTTCCCTACTTCTCCTTGCTGCTACCGAATCAGTTAGAAGCAGGTGGCTATTGAATTGGGTTAACTGAGACTTAGAAAGTGCTGTTTTACAGGCCCTGTCTTATGAGTAGACCTAGTTCCCTCTGAAAGACAAGAGGTGATATTTCTTCATTCCTTAATACTTGGGAGTTTTTCTGGTCCTCGCATTGGTCAGTACTGGGGTGATATTATCTTCAAAGGAGAAGTCTGAAATTCTGATGGCCTGAAAAACATTCCAGACTCCATGCAGGCTTTGAATACAAACCCTTGAGGGCTTGCTGCTGCTTTTACCTGTCAGTTTTCTAAGGTTTGTATCTTTTTTCACTATCTAAAAATAATAATAGCTGCACTTATAGAGCACATACTAGTGCTTAACACACATTAACTCAATGCTATCCTCACACCAACCGTATTGTTGTTGTTAAGTCCCGTCGAGTCAACTCTGACCCATACCGTGTATAGGGTTTCTGAGGAGCAGCTGGTGAGCTTGAACTGCTGACCTTGCAGTTCAAATGGCTTTGCAGTCTGGCACATTAACCCACAGCACCACATCAGAACTCTGCCAACCGTATAGTGTAGATCTAATTATCTCTGTAGTGGTTACGAATCGGGCTGCGAACCTTAAGGTCAGCGGTTCGAAACTACCAGCCGCTCCGCGGGAGAAAGATGAGGCTTTCTGGTCCCGTAAAGATTTACAGTCTTGGAAACCCTGTACAGGGTTGCTATGGGTCGGAACCTACTCCACGATACTTAACAACAGCAACAACAACAATTATCTCTATTTTACAGATTAAGAAATTTAGACACAAAAGGTTAAGTAACTTGTCCGAGGTTGCAGCCAGCAGGTAGTGTAGCCAGGATTAAAACCTGAGTCTTCTCATGAGGCTGATTTAACCACTTCCCATGGAGTCCTGGTGTGGCCTTGTTAAGATAAGCACCGGACTGCTAACCACAAGGTTAGTGGTTCAAACCCATCAGCTGCTCCTTGGAAAGTCTAGACAGGGTTGCTGTGAGTCTGACGGACTTGATGGCACAGAACAACCATATTAATTTTGGCATTGTATGTAGATCAGGAAGTTATCACTGCTTAATACCTGACCTTGGCATCTAACAGAAAACAATGACTGGCTTTGGCGATAAACTGGGAAAACTGTGCTTTTTATTTTGAGCTTAGATGTCTTTTTCAGGACCTGTCTCCCAATCCAACAGAGCCTCTGCCTTTCTGTCGGATTCCCTCAGTTTTCCCCCCAGTACTGTAGTCTTCATTAGCCGTCCTGTGGATGTGATGGAGCCTGTCCTTTGGCTGCCTTTCCCAATTTCTTATGGGTATTTCCTTTCAGTCTTCCAGCACTCAGAGAATGTGGCCTGACTCAGGTTCTGCAGAGCCCAGTGGCATGAGGCCCACCTGCAGAGAGGTCTGGGTAACTAGGTTGCTTGGACTGAAAAATGGAAGTACCTCTTGTTTGTCCTAATAATAGCCGTGGACATTAGCCTCTTGCCATTATTTTGGGGAGCGTGGAATGTGTGGCAGCCACGAGCTCATTAAGCTCCCTTCACTTCCCTTTGGGGATGCAGCTTTGGCGCGGTTTATGACTTCATCCCTTTTATTGAAGGGGGAAACTGAGGCATTAAGTGAGAACAAGGGGTGGTTAGGGATACTTCAGTGACTCAGTGTTAGGATTGGGAATAGATCCAAAGAACCTCAGTCTCTGAGGTTCTACACACTGGGTTACCCTTCAAGAATGGGGAAGTAAAGGAGGGGTGAGGAAGTGGAATGGGCTGAAAGAGAATGGTGCGGAAAGCTCAGAAGACTCGGACTGCCACGAGCTTCTCGGAGCTGGTAAGATTGGAATATATTTTGAGTGTTGAGCCAGTATCTGGAGGGCTGACTAGAAGGGTGCTGGAGCAGGGCGGAATTCAACACCTGGAAAGAAACCTGGTGGTGCAGTGCTTAAGTGCTCAGGTGTGAACTGAAAGACAGTTTGACCCCACCAGCTGCACTCTGTAAAGACTGTCAACCCTCTGGGGCAGTCCTGCTTTGTCCTGGAAGGTCACTGTGAGTAGGAATCAACTGGATGGCAATGGGGTTTTGTTTCATTTGTTTTGTCCCTAATTTGGTAAGGGTGGTGGTGGTGGTTATGTGCTGTGGAGTCGGTTCTGATTCATAGAGAACCCTGTACAGGGTGTCCAAGGCTGTAAATCTTTATGGGAGCAAAAAGCCTCATCTTTCTCCTGTGGAGCAGCTGGTAGTTTCGAACTGCTGACCTTGTGGTGTGCAGCCCAATTTGTAAACACTATGCTACTAGAGCTCCTTAATTTGGTAAGAGTGGTGGTGGTGGTTATGTGCCTTGGAATCGGAACCAACTCTTAGAGACCCTGTACAGGATTTCTGAGGCTATAAATCTTTATGGGAGCAGAACACCTCATCTTTCTCTCGCATGAAGCCCCTCTGTGTAAGCCCTCTGTGGTGGTTTTGTGCTGTGGAGTAGGTTCTGACTCATAGCAACCCTACATAGGGTTTCCCAGGTTGTAAATCTTCACAGGAGCAGAAAGTCTCATCTTTTCTTCCGCGAGCAGCTGGTAGATTTGAACTGCTGGCCTTGCAGTTGGCAGCCCAGCTCCTAAGCCCTCTAAGCAAGTAAAAACTCACTGATGTCTGTCCCATGTTGAGAGCATTTTAAAGGAATATTCATGATGGTCTCAGTGCTCTTAAGATGGACTTTACTAGGAATTTTTAGCAGGCGATAAGAAGGAATAGTTTAAAACTTCTTTGCAGATTTCTATAGTGGAGGACGCAGGAAAACTTGGATCATTGAAAATTGGTTCATTGGCATTTTACTGTTCAATAGAATGCCCCTGCTACAGGACCATGATGCCACCCACCACAAGCGCCTAGCTATATTCCAGAGATTGTGGTGTGTTAACTTAGTAAAGTGCAATAAGGTCTGGGGTTTCTTGGAATGACTTGATGTTAATTAGTTTCCAAGTTTCCAGGGTTTAGGACAGGGTGGGGGTAATGGGAGAGAAGCTGAGAATAAAGGGAAAACCCTTCCATGATTCTATTTTTAAAAATGGCTCTTTTTAAAAAATTCCTTTCTCCTATCAAGCAATTCTTGGGCTACAACTGAACTGGGTCTCTTGCTGCCCACGCCTCTGAAGCACTAAGGTGTTTCCTTCAGTATTGTGGAGTGGGTGTGTTGCTGGTGAGGAGCCCAGGGCAGGGTACATATGTGTACGTGCAAAGACTGTGAGGGTGGGGACTTTAGGGGAAAGGGGACCTTAGGAGAAAGGGGTCAGTGTCTTGGGGAGACACTTAGTCCTTAACTAGCTGATAGTCTGAAAGATGTGTTCGGGTCAAGGGAAAGAGGGGGAGGCAGTCCTTTTAACTGCAAAGTGTGTATGTGCGCATATATCTGGGTATGGATTTAGAGATTACCTACATAAATATGTTTCTGCCCAAGATTGTGAACTCTGAGCCATCCTAGCCCTGGCTCCTGTTGCAGGGGTACTGAAGAAGAAATGCTAGCTGTTATCTAAAGGCTGCGCAGGCACAAACCTGTTAGGCAGCAAGTGCTTAGGGGGTTGCTGGCATCAGCTGCAGGGGAGTGCCAAATGGCTACCAAGAGGTTTCTGCCAGCCTTTCTAGACCCTGCAATACAGATACCACCCATCATTCGTCACCTTCCCCCACCAAGATGTCACTCTAGCTACACCTCCCTGTCATCAAGAGCACTCAGGCTGTGTGGGTGGTGGCAGGGCGTGCAAACATCAGGCGTGGGCGGTCTGGCAGCGCCAGGAGTTTGCATGGAGGTGCTGTGAGCGAGCGTGCGTGCGTGCCTGGCTGGGAAGAAGGGAGGGAGGAGGAGGACTGGAGAAGGGAGCCAGCTCTTAGCCCCAGTGTGGCTATTTTTAGCCAGGCTATCTGATTGTTACCGGTGCTCACACAGCTGGGTGTCTCCCTGGCTCTATGAAGCCCAGCAGGCTGAGAGGTGGGAGGTCCTTGCTGATGACTTCTTCCTGGTGTTGGTGTCTGTGGGCGGGAGCTAGCAAGGGGTAGCTTTTAAGGTGCGAGGGCAGCTGTGTGCTCAGGATCTGTTATCTCTCTCTGTGTACTCTGTGGGTAATGTATGCTATATATCTTAATTGTGATTCTGTGTGGCCCACCGTTTATGTGTATGTCCTTTGCTTGTTATATATCATTTATGCTTGGGATCTAGCTAATGTGCCTCACCTGTACATATATGTACACTAAAAAGAGCAAGTGTTCATAATATAGAACACATCAGCTGCTCTGTGGGAGAAAGAAGAGGCAGGCTGTTTCTATCAAATTTACAGATTTGGAAATCCTAGGGGCAGCTCTATTCTGTCTTACAGGATAGCACTATGAGTCAGAATCAACTCAACAACAGTGGACTTTAAAAAACATAAGACAGGTTGGTGTGTGCTGCATTAGTATATATTTATGTCTATTCAGACGGTTTTTCTCTATATGTATATTCATGCTGTGTATGTTGTATGTAAATATGATAATAAGCTTCACATAATTGGAGAATAGACCTTGGCTAATTCCACCTGGTATCTGAGTATTCTAATAGTTTATATGTACATATAAAATACTAGAATGTTAGAATACTGACTCAATGGCACTTAGCAACAACAATATACACATATGTATGCAGAGTCCCTGGGTGGTACTTATGGTTAAGTGTTTGACTACTAACTGAAAGGTTCATACCCACTCAGAGGCCCCTCAAAGAAGGTCCTGGAGATCTGCCTTTGAAAGGTCACAGCCTTGAAAACTCTGTGGAACACACTTCTGCTCTGCAACACATAGGGTCACCATGAATCAGGAGCAACTAGATGGGGACTGGCTTGGTTTTGCATTTATGAATGGACTTCAAAAAGTTCATGGAAAATGGAATTAAAAGATAATGGAATTTCTACAAGAACTTTTTGAAGCTTTCTTGAATATTTTATATTGTTGCTCTTAAGTGCTGTAGAGTCGACTCCAACTCATAGTGACTTCGTATAGGGTTTCCAAGGAGCAGCTGATGAGTTTGAACCACCGACCTTGTGGTTCAAATTGACCTTGCGGTCCAGTGCTTTATCCTACAGCACCACATCAGGACTCATATATTATATAGAATGCATATATTTTGTAGGAGAGTTTTAAAATAGTATGTTGTAGGGCTATAAGTAGAGCCCTGGTGTGGTGCTGTAGGATAAGCACGTGACTGCAAGGTAGGCAGTTCAAACTCACCAGCTGCTCCTCGGAAACTATACAGAGTTGCTGTGAGTTGGGACTGACTCGACAGCACTGAATAACAACAACAAAGGCTATAAGTAAGGAGAATCAAGGGAGTAGCTCAATTTGGTGGATGATTTGATCTCTCCTTTAATTTTGTGTGAAGGGAGAGGCCCCTTGGTTGTGTTTCATATTGGAAAAGTCGAATAAGTACGAATCCATCACCTGCTAAATGATTGGCAATGTATCAGATTGGAAGCAGAGGTGTGTCTGGGAACACCTAGCAAAGGGTTGCTCCATGAGTGGAGTCTCCTACAGAAATTATGCTGGGCAGAAAGTCTACTTTCCTTAAAGGACTAGAATTTGAGTATTGCTTATCTCCAGAATCAGAGATAATCCGTATCTATTGTTTTCCTCTCTCCTTTATCCTCTTCTCTGCAGAACCCAGAAGTACCATGGCTTCTGACCTGGAGAGCAGCCTCACCTCTATAGACTGGCTCCCCCAGCTGACCCTCCGAGCTACCATTGAGAAGCTTGGGAGTGCTTCCCAGGCTGGGCCTCCAGGGGGCAGCCGCAAGTGCCCACCAGGCTCACCCACAGATCCGAATGCCACCCTGAGCAAAGACGAAGCAGCAGTCCACCAGGATGGCAAGCCACGATACAGCTATGCCACCCTCATCACTTACGCCATCAACTCCTCTCCAGCCAAGAAGATGACCCTCAGTGAGATTTATCGCTGGATCTGTGATAACTTTCCCTATTACAAGAATGCTGGCATTGGATGGAAGGTGCGGTTGATTACTTCTGTAACATGGGAATCTTTTTAGCACTGGACAGTCATTTTCTCTACTTTTGTTTCTATCACCTAATCCACTTCAATCTAACCTATCTCAAACATGGGTGAACTCGTCAAAATCTCAGCTCCTAGCTCCTACTTTTTTTCAGAGTTGAACAGTTTTCATAAGCAGTGTCAGGGACACTCTAGTAATGCCAAGTCAGTAAGTATTGTTATTGGGAAGGCAGGATACTATTGCTTATCAGACCCTCTTACCTTCTGATTCCTTATCAAGGATATTCAATTATCTCCCCAATATTTATTGCTACTCTACTGTGTAAAGTCTCTGTGCAAGGCATGACTGCTTGCTCTTACCTAGAGTTAGGAGTCTCATCAGATTTCCATAGCCTCATTACACATTGTCATCATCTTTTGAAAAAATAGTATAATTAGGTCCTTTACCAACATCTAATCCACCATGCAAGTAAGGATAGGATTAGTTTTTTGGCTACGGGTGAAGGAAGAAGGGGGCTCTTCTTCCAATAAAGAAGGAAGACAGATGCGCTCAATCTTTGAAGCAGCAACTAATCTGCCAACTGTTGAGTAGGATTGAAGATTTGATTTAGTTCTCTCACCCTGTATGTAAATCACCAGCTGACATACAAGCCAGATGATAAAGACTCTTGAAAGCAGTGCTTTTTTTCCTAGTTAGTATCCCCCTGTCAGCTACCACAGTCTCTACGAACACACAGTAGTTCTGTCCTCCAAGTGTGACCATTCTATGGGCTTTGGAAATAACAAAGTGATCTGTGCCCTTGTTTCCCTCATAGTTCATTAGTTTAGAAATAGTCGTCTTTTTGTGTTGTAAATAGAGTGAATTGAGAAACTGTGCAGATGTGATCTTGAGGCATTTATTATCTGTTGTCAGTTGGGTAGAAAGGCTGAAAAATTATATACTCAGCTTTCTAGAAGCACCTGGTAAGCACATCCATAGCCATTACCTCTCATCAGTTTAATTTCTCTACTTTGCTTGTATCACTGCTGTTGTCACCTTAGTTAACTAGTATGTTATAACAGAAATACCACAAATGGGTGCCTTTAACAAATAGAAATTGACTTTCTCACAGTTGAGGAGGCTAGAAGTTTGAATCCTGGGTGGCTACTCTTAGGGGAAATCATTCTCTCTTTATTGGCTCTGGAGGAAGGTCCTTGTCTCTTCTGAGCTTTTTGTTCCTGTGGTGCTGTGGGATAATACACTGGACCGTAAGGTTGGTTTGAACTGCAAGGTCAGCGGTTCAAATTCACCAGTCACTCCTTGGAAACCCTATACAGGGTGGCTAGGAGTCAGAATTGACTCCATGGCGCTTAACAACAACAACAGTCTTCATGTGGCTTCGTGTGTCTCTTCCCCCTATCTTTGCTTTGCTTGCTTGTTTAATCTCTTTGTATCTCAGAAGAGATTGATTCAAGAATACACCCTACCCTAATCCTGCATCATTAGCATAACAAACAACCCATTCCCAAATGGAATTATAGTCACAGGCATCGAGGTTGTAATACGTAATATTCACAAACTTAGTTCTGGGAGACACAGTTCAAGCCATAATACCATCTGATAGGTCCTTTTCTCCATCATTCGCCACCAGTGTAGTTAAGGGGTGTTAAGTTTATCCTTGAACTTTATTGTTTAGTGGTTTGTTTGTTTGACCGTGTTCTATTGGAAAATTTTCTGCTTTGCATAATGCTAAGATCTAACTTGCTTCTCTACTTCTCCAGAATTCAATTCGGCACAACCTTTCTCTCAACAAGTGTTTCCGGAAGGTGCCCAGACCTCGAGATGACCCTGGGAAGGTGAGAGTCGGCTTCAAGTGTTGAAGGGAGGAGCAGGAAAGCCAGAGAGGTTGACAGCCCAGAGTCGCATGGTTGTTTTAATTACCCAGAAGAGGAAGTCTTGTTAATGAGGGAAGCAGCTTTAGTTTTTCTTAAAGGAAGAGCTTGGTTGTCAAATTTGTGGGTACCCACTAGCACGAGTGACTAAGGAACACTGTGAACTCTTTTTTTTGTTGTTGTTATAGACATATTTATGTTAAGGTTGGCTCTGATGCCCCTTCTGTTTGTGTGGTATTTTCTTTTCAGATGTAGAAAGATAGACTTAATAACCTTTGTAGGAACTTTTCTCTCCAAAATTTCCATGATTTTTGCCTCAAAACTGTCAGAAGGAAAAAAGCTGGATAATGTTCTTCTTTTGACAGTTTTGGATGCTACAGTCGAGAGAGTCATTCCTCAGATCACAAAGGAAGAGACTTTTCTAACTCTTTAAGTTAGATGCTATTGTTCTGCCCCTCCAGAACAATTTAGGCCTATATTGGACCACAGAAGTACCTCCGGTCATACTTAGAGCTTTTAAGACAGATTTCCTTTGCAACAGTAGCCAGTACCTTGGGGAGTCTGTGCAAATCTCTAGTCACTTTTTTTAGCATGACTTATTTTATGTGGGAATCAAAAATTTCTACTTTCTTAAAGGTTGTTGCTGCTGTTAAGTGTCATCGAGTTGGTTCCGACTTATAGTGATCCTGTCTATATAGAGTTTCTGAGGAGCAACTGATGTGTTTGAACTGTTACCTTATTCAAATTGACCTTGTGGTCTAGTATTTATCCTATATAGGTACTTCCATATATGATTTTGCTCTCTGTGGGTTGGGCTCTCCTTCCAGGGTTCCTATTGGACAATTGATACATGCCCTGACATCTCCCGAAAGAGAAGACACCCTCCAGATGATGATGTAAGTCCCCACTTTGTGGGGAGTTGCCATTTCTGAACCAATTGCTGCTTCTACCTCCTCTTCTGTATTTTCAGTCCTTTCCTATATTTTGGGTGAAAAAAAGGTGAAACCATGAGAGTTGGGAGAATATTTAGCCTCTGTTTATCAATTTCTCTTTCCTCATAACCCTTAGCTTTCTCAAGACTCACCAGAACAGGAGGCAAGCAAGAGCCCACGGGGAGGCATTCCGGGGAGTGGAGAAGCCTCACTACCTCCCGAGGGGAATCCTCAGATGTCACTTCAGAGCCCCACATCTATCACCAGCTACAGCCAGGTAGGAAGCAGAGGGGGCATAAAGGTGGATGGCTGGGTGGATGGTTGAATAGATTCATACATTTCCCTGCTCAAAATTATTTATTGATTTTTCTGTGGTATATCAGGAAGATAAATTTGGAAAGAAGTGGAAACCAAAACAGAGAAAAAGGCATAACAGAACATTAAGAAAGATCTGAAAAAGATAAAAATTAGTTAAAAAAAAAAAAGGTAATAAAAAGTTATGAGAAGGGAAAGAAGGACATGAATGTAGCATAGGAAAAGAGTATTTAAAGAAGAAATGGAGACAGATGAGAGATAAAGGCTAGACGAAGATAACCAATGACAACGTAATACTGGGTCATTGAAGAGTTAGAAGGAGAGGGTGAAGAGGAACAGGCTTGGTGACCAGCAAAGGGTTGTGTTGGTCCTTCACTTAGGACACGCATCAGGTCTTTCTTCCCTCTTTTTGTAGGGCACAGGCTCCGTGGATGGTGGAGCAGTGGCAGCAGGGGCTCCGGGTCGAGAGAGTGCTGAAGGCCCCCCTCCCCTCTATAACACCAACCATGACTTCAAATTCTCCTACTCAGAGATCAACTTTCAGGATCTAAGTTGGTCCTTCCGCAACCTCTACAAATCCATGCTGGAGAAGTCGTCTTCCTCCTCTCAGCATGGTGAGTCTGGAGTTGGGAGCACGGATGTCCTTGTATTTTGAGTCAGATGGTGACATTCTCTTCTCTTGCTTCTTCTTTTTGATATAAAGAGAGGTTGGTCATTGGTCAGAGAGACAGGTCTTGAGCTAAAACTGTGTGGAGTTGAGTTCTTCTGGCTTAGTTCTGGTGAACAGCTCCTTTAGGAGATGCTCTCTGGGTAACTCACTTGAGAAGGAGAGTTGGAGGAATCCCCCCTCCTGGAATGAAAGGCAGTGATTTTATGACTGCAGGCAAGTCATTTAGAAGACGGCCACCAGGGGACAGCAGTAGTTTTGTCTCCCCAAGAATCCCTCAGTTTCAGTGTTGGAACATTCTTTTTTTAGCATATGGTATGTTACATTTTCTTATGAAAATTTTAAAACAGATGCAAAAATAGAGGAAATAGTATAATAATCCCCATCTTGTTAAATTTACTTTGTTAAACTTGTTTCATTTACCCATCAACATTATTTTTTTAATTGCAATACTTTAAAGCATTTCCCAGACAGCGTGTCATTCTACCCATAAACACTATTTCAGTGTTGTTGTTGTTTTTAAGTGCCTCAGAGTCTGTTCCAACTCATTCCAAGGAGCATCTGATGGATTTGAACCGCCAACCTTATGGTTAACAGTCCAATGTTTATCCTACAGTGTATTCCATCTTTATGGGAGCAGAAAGCTTCCTTTCTCCCTCTGAGCAGCTGGTGGATTTGAACTACTGACCTTGGAGTTAGCAGCATAGCATAGTATGTTGTTAAATGCCTCAGTATGCGTCCCTAAATGATAGACTTTTCTTTTAGCTATTCATCATACTATTTTTACTCTGAACACAATGAATTATATTTTAATATCAGCTAATATTATATCCACAGTCACATTTTCCTAGTTATTGTATGAGAATAATTAAAAATCTTTATTGAGAGGCTGATTTCTTATAATTTAGTTTTATAGTTGCTGAGAATGTGCATAGCAGAACATGTACCAGTTGAAGGATGTCTGCATGTACAGTTCAATGACACTGATTAAGGTCTTTGAGTTGTGCAATCATTCTTACTCCCCTTGTCCAAGTTGTTCCTCCCTCATTAACATAAACTCTCTGCCCCGTAAGTTTCCTATCTCATCTTTTGAGTTACTGTTGTCAGTTTGATTCCATATAGATAGAGCTTAAAAGAGCAAAGTGTTCAAGGCAGGCATTCTTTGCTAGTTAAACTAAACAATTGCATGGTTTTAAGATGACTTTAAGGGGATATTTTTGGTTTAAGGTTTAAAGATGGTCTTAAGGCAGCTGTTTCTGGGATTCATCTAACCTCCAGGGCTCCAGAAAGTTTAGATTCCGTGAGATTTTGAAGGTCTGCTCTACTTTTTTTCATTTTTTATCAGAATTCTTTTATTGAGTCCTGAGCAAAATGTCTCATCCTGATAGTTAGGCTCCACCATCCAGGTTTTCTGGTCTCATGGCAAAATTGGGAAGCTTTTTAAGAGATCATTTGGTTCAGTCCTGTGGAATTCCTATGTGTGGTTAAGAAATTAGAGGTACACCTTTTTGCTGTCTTCAGTGGAAGCTGAATGGAATACTTTAAAAGTGGTAGGAATCCCTTTCTGAAAACTTGTATTAATTGTCAAGAGTCTCTACCCTTACATTATCTAGAGTTGTGTTTCAAGATGATAGCATTTGCTTGAGAAGTTAGTCCAACTCAGATGGTTGGTTGCTTGGAGGTGGGAAGCATGAAATAAGTATCTGAAATAATGTAGAAAGTTAGATTGAGTGAGGGCACCAAAGTGTTCACTCAAATGCAATTGATCCTTGGAGTCAGTGGGCCTCATTAGATAGTTCTCCCTTGCCCAGGCTACTTGAACAGTGAGTCCCTTTCTGTTGGCTGCTCACCCAAGCGCCATCTGATGGTGGTGAATGGAAGGAGGTAAGGGTGAAGCTGTAGCTTCACCCTTACAGGAAAGACGAGAAGAGAATACATGCCCAATATTTGTAATCTGCTTTCTACCTGTAGTCTGATTTCTCTTCAAACTCTGATTCCAAACCTGCAAGAAAATTCCTAAAAAAGTAGCATAAAGAGGTACATGCTGACCTTTTTACTGAGCTTTTTAGTTACCACATTGGCAAAGCTCTCACCCAACCTATCTGCTTTCCTGTCTGCTATACCTACCGGGGGGCCAAAAGGATCCTGACTGTTCAATAGCACCCTGATCCTTTTAACTCTGCCATTTCTGGCTGAGGCCTTCCATCTCAGCCCAGTGAAAACCCTGTGTAGTGAAAACTGTTTTGCCCACGTCACTCGCCTGCTTCCTCCCACCCTGCAGGCTTTTCGACCCTCCTGGGGGACATGTCGCCCTCTAGCAACTACTACATGTACCAGCAGCAGCCTCCGCCACCTCAGCAGCAGCAACCTCCGCCACCACAGCCACCTCCTCAACAGTCACAGCCGCCGCCGCCGCAGCAGCCACCAGCCCAGGGCCCCTCAGCTGTCGGGGGTGCTCCCCCACTGCACACCCCGAGTCCAGATGGTTGTACCCCACCAGGGGGGAAGCAGGCTGCAGCTGAAGGGTATGGGCCTCCCCCAGTGATGGCCATGCACCCTCCCCCACTGCAGCATGGAAGCTACCACCCTCATCAGCACCATCCCCACTCCCACCCTGGCCAGCAGCCCCCGCCACCACAGCAGCAGGCACAAGGCCAGGCTCCCATCAACAGTGCTGCTTTTGGTGAGTAAAGGAGGGTGGGGTGGGATGGAATGAGAGGGTCCTCTTGTCGGGGCTGCGGCATGTAGGTGCACTAGGTTAGGAAGTTACTAGTGGGCATGGAGCTATGGATGTCCTGGGATATAAGGCTCATCATTGCCCCCTGTGAGCTTATCTAAGGGAACGGAAGTTGCTACTTATACTAAACTCCAAACTTACTGCCATTGAGTCGTTTCAGACTCAGAGCAACGCTTTATGGGGTTTCCGAGACTGTCACTCTTTACAGGATCAGACAGCCTCTCTTTCACCCATGAGGTAGCTGATGGGTTTGAACTGCCAAGCTTGTGGTTAGCAGTCCAGGACTTATCCTAACTATATTGTTGAGTTCTTGGTCATATTGGCATTGTGTTCCACATTCTCCTGTCTGTGGACTGAACTGGACCTAAAACATGTTATTGTTAACTTGCCATCATGGTGATTCCAACTCCTGGCAATCCTGTGTGTACAGAGTAGAACTGCTCCACAGGGTTTTCAAGGCATGACCTATCAGAAGTAGGTCACCAGGCTTGTCTTCCAAGTAGTCTTTGGGTGGGTTTGAACCACCAACCTTTTAGCTAGTTGTCAAGCGCTTAATCAGTTTTGCCAGTTTTTATCGTTGCTGTTGTTGCTAGTGGTGTCGAGTTGGTTCTGACTCAGAGCGACCCTGTATAGGGTTTCTGGGGAGCAGCTGGTAGATCAGCAGTCCATTGCTTATCTTACAGCATCACAACAGGACCCCTTACGCCAGCCTAGGTAGTTTGATCTACCTAAAAAATCTCTAATTCCCATCAAGTCAGTTCTGACTCATGGTGACCCCATATTTGTCAGAGTAGGACTACGCTTCATAGGATTTTCTTTCTTTCTTTTCAAAAAAGAATTTATTTTTGTTGTTGCTGAAAATGTTAGAGGATTTTTAGTAGCTGATTTTTTTGAAAGTAGATCACCAGGCCTTTCTTTGGAAGCACCTATGGATGGACTCAAGCCTCCAACCTTTCAGGTAGTTGCCAAACACATTAACCATTTATACCACCCAGGGGGTTGTTGTTGTGGTTATGTGCCGTGGAGTCGGTTCCAACTCATAGCAACCCTGTACGGGGTTTCCGAGTCTGTAAATCTTTATGGGAGCAGAAAGTCTCATCTTTCTCCCTTAGAACAGCTGGTAGTATAGTACTGTTGACCCTGAGGTTAGCAGCCCAATTCGCAACCGCTACACTACCAGAGCTCCTTAGCCAGGGAGTAAGATCCCAAAATTATCTTGGTAATGCAATTGGTAACCTGTGTAGATGCAGGAATCTTGCATGTTCTCAGTTAACTGCCTTGACTGCTATCTTATTACCCCCTTTCACCTCCTTTCTCAGCATTTCCTCCTGACTGGTGCTCCAATATCGACTCCTTAAAAGAAAGCTTCAAGATGGTCAATCGGCTCAATTGGTCCAGCATTGAGCAGTCACAGTTCTCAGGTAAGTGATTAAAAGATGATGTATGGAGGGAAGAGGGATACCTGGGAACTGGGAAAACCCAGAGAAGCTAGAAACGGAAGGGAATGGTTAAGTGAAGCCTGGAGACTGAGCATTTCATTGGTTCCCTACCATATTATATAATTTTGCCTTCACTTGAAACATGGCAGTGCTTTATTGTCTTTGAGAGAAGGAAGCCTCTCCAGAATGTAGAAACCCTGGGTTCTGTGTTGTTGGCAGCTGCCATCGAGATGTTGGTTGCTGACTTCTGGTGATTTTGTGCACAGCAGGGTTGGACTGCTGTGATCCATAGGGTTCTCATTGACTGATTATTCAGAGGTAAATTGCCAGGCCTTTCTTCCTAGTCTGCCTTAGTCTGGAAACTCTACTAAACCAGTTCAGCTGTATAGAAACGTGCAAGGTTCCATTGATAGACAAGTGGTGGCTGCGCTTGAGGCATATTAGGTGGGAATCGAACCTGAGTCTCTTCATGGAAGGTGAGAATTCTACTACTGAGCCACCACTGGCCCTTGGTGTCCTGTCAGGTCCGGTATTTTCTACCTGTACTGACAGTGTGACTATGGATAATCCACTCATTGCCTTTGAAAGTTTGCTTATTCATCAGTAAGATGGCATTAAGAAGAAGAATCTAGTAAAGCGCAAACAGATGAAGAGTTTGGAAATGTAGAGCTCTATCAAATGTAAATGATGATTGTTAATGCAGATTGTTAGTGGTGTTATTTATGATGTGTCTGGGACAGTGAACCAGAGGGAGATCTGCTAAGGGTTTTGGTACCTATGCAAGGTTAGCATTAATGGCGTTCCTTTTGTAGAACTGATGGAGAGCCTGCGGCAGGCAGAGCAAAAGAACTGGAGCCTCGACCAGCACCATATTGCCAATCTCTGTGACTCCCTCAACCACTTCCTTACCCAGACTGGTCATGTCCCCTCCCAAGGTGGCTCCCACCGGCCACCTGCCTCTGCTCGAATCGCTGACTCCTGTGCCCTCACCAGTGGCAAACAGGAAGCAGCCATGAACCAAGGTACTGCACAAAGCAAGTCACCACAAAAGTAGAGACTATGATAAAATGGGAGGGATGGGTGAACGACAAAAGAGAATCAAGATAAATCATTTCATGGGCAACGATCCAAGCTGAGCAGTGGCAGGGGTTTGTTAGCCACGTCAACTGAAACATATGTCAGTAAAAAAATACCAAAGAAACACACCATAGGATTCCTTTTTAGAACTGGATTGAGAGGATCAAAATTATTTAAGAAAAGGAAAGAGCTTTGTTAGGGAAAGTTCCTACTCCAGACTTGTGTCTAAACAACCCTACCTGGATCATATCAGGTGGGGTGACGATTCTCTACATTTATTTATATGATCTTCTAACCAGTGAAATGAGAGGTATTGGATGATCCTGTTTCTATGTCTATCTTTGATATTTCCCAATTCTAGTTTCCACAGCATACCACCACCACCACCAAATATCCAGTCACTTCCTACCTTCAGTGTTAAGGGCTAATAGCTTCCTTAGAAAGCAATGAAAGGAGAAAGATATGAAGAGGAGGAAGAGAGTATTTTTCCCTCTCCATTGGGGCTTACTCAAATAACTCCTGTCTTGCTTTAACAGTGAACTCTTATGGGCACCCACAGGCCCCTCACCTCTACCCTGGCCCATCACCAATGTACCCACTCCCCACCCAGGAGTCAGCAGGATACAGTCGCCCAGGTAAGAGTCAGGAAGCTTGCTTCATCACCAGCCCCAGCACTTTCTTCCCAGATGAGTTGTTTCACTTTCCACTGGCTCCATGCCTACATTCCATGCCTTTCTGCCTGCACCTGCCAGGAATGGGCAGGCCTTCATGATTCCCAAAGCTGGCTGGGGGCCGGCCACATGCTAGGGAGGTGTCTGCCAGTGGAGAAGTAAAGAAGACAGATTTACATTAAAATAGATGTGTATCTGTGATATTGAAGGAAAGTAAAAACATAAATATAAGTAAAAGGTAAATAATGAAGAAGATTTATGTCTAGCTTTGGAATACGTTGTTGTTGTTAAATGCTATTGAGTCGATTCTGACTTACAGCAACTCTGAACTGGTGTGTTTGAACTGTGGACCTTATGGTTTGAAGTCCAGTGCTGATCCTACAGCACCACGCCAGGAGTCCTGCTTTGGAATATAGTTGGAGAAAAAAATTAAATGAGTTTGTTCCCTGTTTGTGCTAGTGCCTGCTTTCTGGTCACTTGACATCTAGTATCAGGAGTCTGGACTCCAGCGATCTCTGATAGGGGGAGTAGGGGAACCCTTGTTGTTGTTAAGTGCTCTGAAGTCAGTTCTGACTCATAGTAACCCTATATTGGGTTTCCAAGGAGCAGCTGGTGTGTTTGAACTGCCAGCCTTGTGGTTAGCAGTCCAGTGCTCCAGTGTTGATCCTACAGTGCCACACCAAAGACCCAAGGAAACCATAAGTTGCCATAAATAGTGCAAAATGAACAGATTCTTCACATTTAGATACTTTTTTTAAGAAAAATCACTAGGAAAGTTAAGGCACTTAGCTGCTAACCAAAGGTTAATAGTTCAAACCCACCAGCCAGTCCATAGGAGAAAGCTGTGGCTGTATCTGCTTCCATAAAGATTGTTGTTGCTCTTATTAAGTGCTGTCAAGTCGGTTCCGACCCATAGCGACCCTGTAGAGGGTTTCTGAAGACCAGCTGGTGAGCTTGAACCGCTGACCTTGCAAAAAGATTATAGCCTAGAAAATCCTGTGGAGCTATTCTGTTCTGCCCTGTAGGGTCGATATGAGTCAGAATTGGTGCTACAACAACAGGTTTTTAAAACATTTTTATTTAAACTTTTTATTGTGATTGAGTGAAGGTTTACAGGGCAGATCATCAGTTTTACATTCAACAAATCATATACTTTGCTTCATTATATGGTTACAGTCCCCTCCAACAGTTAACCAACAGTTAACCTCGGTTACCTTTTTTCATTTTAACCACTGCATTCCTCCCTGTGTCTTCTGCCACCCTCATTTTGCCTTTGCTAACTTCCCTCCTCCACCCCCCAATTCTATATTGCCTACCTGTCACCTCTGTCAATGTGTGTCTGCCCTTTAGTGCATGTATCATTTACTCCTCCAACAGCTGTTTTTTTGTTTTTTTTATTATTTTATCTAACTACAAGTGTTTTCTTTTTGAGGGGTAACAGCAGACTCCTTATCCATGTAATACAAATGAAAATTTATGTATTGCTGTTTCATATAATAGGGCATGTATGTTTTCCATCATAAATATGTAGTCTCCATAAGTATGTTGTTGTTGTTAGGTGCCATCGAGTCGGTACCGACTCATAGCGACCTTATGCACAGCAGAATGAAACACTGCCCAATCCTGGGCCAACCTCACTATAGTTGCCACAGTTGAGTCCATCGATGCTGCCACTTGGCCATTCCATCTCATTGGGGGGTCTTCCTCTTTTTCTCTGACTCTCCACCTTACCAAACATGATATCCTTCTCCAGCGACGGACAATATGTCCAAAGTATAAGAGATGAAGTTTGGCCATCTTGGCCTCCAAGGAGTGCTCTGGCTGCACTTCTTCCAAAACAGATCTATTGGTTCTTTTGGCAGCCCATGGCACTTTCAGTATTCTCATCCATAAATATAGTTTTAACTTTTTACATAGTCTATATATAAATGTAATTATGCCTCTGTAATACTTTATTGGAGTCCTGGTGTGGCGCTATGGGATAAAGCACAGGACCACAAGGTTGGTTTGAACCACAAGGTCGGCAGGGTTGCTATGAGTTGGACCCAACCGGACAGCACTTAGCAACAACAATGCTTTATTGCCATGTGACCACTAACTTTAGTTTACTTCCTGAGAACATGCTGAAGTAACCTTCAGCAAAAATAGCCCTGGGCTGGTAAGGACAATAGTTTTGCAAGCCCTTTTCATGGGATTATTTGGACCCTAGCACTGTCCATCTGGAGCCCTGGTGTGGCACTGTAGGATAAGCACTGGACTGCTAACCTCAAGGTCAGCAGTTCAAACCCACCAGCCACTTTCTGAAGCTCTATACAGGGTTGCTATGAGTCAGAACGGACTCAACGGCACTTAAGCAACAACAACTGACCCTCTGGATTGATGGACTAGCTTTCCTACACTCCTTTTAATGTCTCCCTTTCTTCTTAACAGCACACCATATGGTCCCTCGACCACCGGTCCCACCTCCTGGTGCCAATGAAGATATCCCTGATGACTTCGACTGGGACTTGATCACTTAGTGGATCATACAGTGTGGACATCAGCCCAGGGCCGGGTGGCGAAGTGTGGCGGTGGGGAAAATGTAGCCCCAGCCCATCCCTTCTCCCTGCTTGTATATAGATATGTATCCTGTTTTTTCTTTCTGTGTCAGAGAAGCCACCGTAAGATGCTGCCGAAGATAACCCCTCTTTCCTGCCTCATTCTTCTCTCTTCCTTCCTGTTCTTTCCTAATTCTTTTATTTTTCTTCTTATTATATTATTATTATTATTATTATTGGCTAAATGCTATCCCCAGTTTCCTGTCCCTACACCAAGGACCATTTCTACCCCTTGCTAATTGAGAATCCTCAGGCTAGAAGGTGAGGCCAGGATAGCTAGAGGGAAAGGTTGCAAACCCTGGTTTACCTTTCTCTTTGAGACCTTCAATTCTGATCCCACCTTTTGGCCCTAAATTGTTTTCTTTTCATATCAGTTTCAGTCCAGGACTGGAGAGGCCACATTTTCAAGTAGTCAGGGTCAAAACACTGCTTTGGCGGTCATAAATTTGCAGGTTTTACTCAATGGTGCTAATTCTGCCCTCTGAGCTCTTCCCTGTCCCTCTGTACCTTCAGTCCTTACTTCTGACAATCCTCATTCCCCATTAAGGGTAAGGGCAATGATGGTGGTGGAGGAGGATGACAATGACATTCTGGTGGAATGAGAGCCCTAGGTTGGATCTAGTAGACTACGGTAGAAGGGTGATGGAATATAAATCAGCCTGAATTTGGGTTCATATCGATCATACTGCCACATGAAATAAGCTTCCATTGGCTTCTTCCTAGCCCATTTTAAAAAAGAGGTAGTAGGGTTGGTTTTAGCCAGAACTCTGTTTCTGTGGTGAGGCATGAGGACAACTACTCAGCATAGGTGAAGCTTTTTGGAGATGGCTTCAACTAAAACTATTGTGGCTTTTTAAAAGCAAATTTTTCTTACAGTTTTAACTGTGGCTGTTACTTGCATTTACAAATGATCATCCTTCCATCTCCTTTTCCCACTCAGCAAATATTAATTTTTCCTTCCTAAGTTGTTGGGACAAATAGTCCACACATCTTTTTTTCTTTTTTAGTATTTTCTGGGATTCTTCAGAAAGACAAAGCACCCTTTTATCACTTGAAGTTTCACCATGTCTTAAGACATGCTCAGAATCTCTTTCTCACCTCATAGTTGAATCAAACCATTAGTGTTAGTGGTAGGAGAATGGGGAGAGGGAAAAGGCAGAGACATGAGTAGGGGCTATTTCAGTTATTTAACTATCTAGGCAAACGCTTGTCTTGGAATCCAGTTGTTTAGGGCTGAAGCTTTTCAGTTAGACTTTTGGGAGTGAAGGACGTTGGCAGAGGGGAATAAATAGTCAAGAGACAGGAGTTCAGTGAAGGTTAATTAAGGGGACTCCCAGAAAAAGATGGAGGGATAACTTATTTCCTTTAACAAGGTGTGGCCTTGATTTATTACTGCAAAGTACTCAATGTATATTTAATGTCAGTGGTTGAATATTGGTTATGAGGAAGAGGAACAATTTTACTTCTGTTTTCATTTCACTAACTTTTCACCATTTAGAAGCTTTGGGACAAAGTGGATGGAATGAACAAGGCCACTCACTGTGTGATTTCTACTTGGGGCTTTTTGTTCATATTGTTTTATTTACTGGTGATCCTCCTTTATCTCTCTTCACCCACCCCTTTCATTTCTTTGGAAGGGATTATAAATAAGAAGTCCAGTGACTGTAGTAAGGGGCAAGAAGGGACAGTTAACTAAAGAGCACTTTATTTCTTTGAAGCCTTTGTAAGAAAGAAATGGGGATGGAGTGATTTGAATCCCCTATTGCCTTGGAGGGCAGTTAGTGCAACCAAGTATGACATAATATTTCTCATCGAGGAAAGGAGAGTTTCTCTTGTTGTTGTTGTTAGGTGCTATCGAGTCAGTTCTGACTCATAGAGACCCTATGTGCAACAAAACAAAACACTGCCCAGTCTTATGCCATCTTCATAATTCTTACAAGAATTTCTCTTAGAGGATGGCAAAATGCCTTTTTAGGTATTTCTATATTAGGCATCTCTTCTTTATTCTTTCTACACAAGGTGCCTCCTACACATAACTTCAAATCAGTACTCCTCAAGATTCCCATCTTTACAAATGATCACTCCTCTTTTCAAAACTCCTTTCCTACTCAGATCCATACAGCATTTGCAAGAGTAGACAAAATCATCCATGCAAATGACATTTGTTTAGAATTCATCTGTGTCTTCTGAAAACTAGTATCATTAAGAAGTCTGGTGGGCAGCCAGAATAATTCAAGTGTGGCACTGGGTCTGGAGACTGACCATTAGGCTTTGGATTCCAGCTCCCCTCTGCCAAGCTCAGCCTTGCTAAATGGCACAGGACAACCTTGACCCTCTTTGGGCCTCCGTTTCCCCTCCCTCCATGAAATGGAAAGAATACTACTTTTTTGTTGGTCCAGCATTGCTGGACGTGAAGTATAGTCTTTGTTGTTGTACTGGGTGATGTGTACAAAATTGCAGGAGCTCACTGCCTACAAAGAGGAAATAAGGGAGAAAGTGTAGGAGAGGGAAAGAAGGAACAATTATTTGGTGTAGATCCGTCCCTCCCTGCCTTCCTCAACCCTCATGTTTCTGGTTTGGTGAGTTCTTTATACTACCCATAATGCTTTGCATTGGTGCAGGCTGGGAAGGGGGTATATGGTCTCACAAAATGTTTTTTTGCATGCTTTCTTAATTAAAAAAAAAAAAAAAGAATGCGTATATATTATATTTTTTTATGTTACTGGCACTGGTGTCAAATTTCTCTTTACTGGGGTGGTTGTGGTGGTGCTAAGTGCTGTGAAGTTGGTTCTGACTCATAGCTACCCTGGACAGGGTTTCTGAGGAGCAGCTGGTGGGTTGGTTGGTTTGAACTGCTGACCTTATGGTTAGCAGTCCCATGTTTATAGTACAGCCCCACACCAGAACTCCTGCTAGGTTTGTTGTTAAGTGTGATCGAGTCAGTTCTGACTCATAACAACCCTGCGTAGGGTTTCTGACCTTGCTGGTGGGTTTGAATTGCTGACCTTGTAGATAGCAGTCCAATGCTTATCCTACAGTGATATACCACAATTCCCCTACCAGGGTAGGAAGGGAGAAATGTGAAAGCATTTGCTTTTTGTTGACTTTAAGTGCTTTCCTCCACCATCCCACTATGGGAAGTAATTGGATTTTTGTATGATTGGTGGGATGAAGAATTAAGAGTGTCCCTGGACCATTCCACTTTTTTGATGCTATCAAATATAGTTAATCCTGGGGAAAGTCCATCACCCCGGGCAGTGTGATGTGTGGACTAGGTCCACCTTGCTTGAATTCTGAGCTATTTTAAAGATTTAAGAAATTATTTGGGGGAAGGACTTCTCAGAGATGAGATAGCACAAAATGGTTATGGTTACCAGGGTATTTCATCTGAAATCAGGAAATTCTAATTGTAGGAATTTCTGCAAAATGCATTTCCAAGATAAATAGAATTTTCAAAAGGAGTGCAGACAATGAATTGCCAACAATTCACTGTGCATTCAATCTCTATAACTCAGCCAACTTCGTTCACCCTTATACCCTATACACCAGCCCCAGTGTTTGGGATTAACGTCCAGGGTCTTGTGGAATGTGTTATGGTTTCCAAAAGCCTAGCTAATATCCATTTTTGCATCCCGTCAGTTACTGTGAGGTTTATTTGCTGAATGTTTATAGGGTATGATCTATTCTGAGTGTTCACCAATAACAAGGATCCATGAATCTTGAGACTTGCAAGATGAAAAGCATTTATTTACATCAGATATGTAAGCAAATTAAATTGGAAAGGTAGTAATGTAAATTTTACATCTTGCCAAACACTATTACTATACAGCTGATAGAATTCCCAGGGATTTGACATTTTTCTGCATAGAACCTTGTAACAAATTTCTAGTCTAGACTCTCATCTCACGTATTGAACATTGGAAGTCTAGAACATATCAGTTTTTATGTTTTAGATTAATTCATTATATATACTCAGTTTAGATAAGGCCATATCTGAATTTTCTAGTGCAGCCACAAGTGGATGGCTTTAACAAATTTGCTCACATTTTAGGTGGCTATTCGTCCAAATTCTGTGTGCCAGCTCAAGGGGAAGGCTTTCTGTTTGTCAGCTCTGGTGAAAAGTCCTTGCCTTCTTTTAGTATCTGTGTGCCCGGCATCCTTTGCAGATCTCCATGAGTCTTGGCGTCAATCTTCCTCTGGCTCTAGGTATTTCACAGTGACTCCAGGTCCGAAGGACTCTCTGCACTCCTAGATCTTCCGTCTTCTCCACTCACTTCTCTCTTCTTTTATCTCTTATAAGCTAGAATGTGATGCAGGCACACACTGGGGAAACTCCCTCACATCTGATCAGGATTGTGATGGGATTAAGGATATTACAGCCCACCCTTAATCATTTCATTGGTTTATCACATCAGATCACATGGAGAATCATCCCATAATTGTCACATTTCATTATCATATAACTGTCAAACCACTGGGAGTCATGACCCAGCCATGCTGACACATTAATCCATGCAAGCTACATTTAAAAGTTATTACACAGAAAAATGAGAAGGTGGTAGGGAGTTGGATAATGCTTTTGACAATAAATTGTTGTTATGTGCCGTGGAGTCAGTTTCGACTCAGCGACCCTGTACAGGGTTTCCGAGGCTGTAAATCTTTATGGGAGCAGAAAGCCTATCTTTCTCCTGCGGAACAGCTGGTAGTTTCGAACTGCTGATTTTGTGGTTCGCAGACCGATTCGTAATCACTATGCTACCAGAGCTCCTTTGACAATAAGAGTAGAAGGAAAATTATATAAATTTTTGAAATGGATAGAGGAAGTTCAAGGGGCAGATAGAAACCTGGGAATGAACAAATTAAAATATGATCATTACCAAATACTGTATATGCTAGACAAACTGAAATACAGAGGAGTTTGGATAAAAATCTTCATCCTTCAGAACAAGAAGTCATTTTTTTGATGTCTGAAACAATAACATAAGCACATAATTTAGAAATATCTGAAAGAATGGCAAATGGGAGTGAGAGGGACAAAGCAGCTGGGCATCAGACAGAGCTGGGCAGAAGACATCTTACATTTCATTGTAAGTCTTTTAGTTCAATTTCAAGAATTTTTTCATTTTTATTGTGAATTGAGTGAGGGTTTGCAGACAAGATCATCAACTTTACATTCCACAAATCATACACTTTGTTTTATCTCAATGATTACAATCCTCTCCATGATCAATTTTAACGATTTAAAAACTGTATGCATTGTTTAACTTTGGTAAGGATAAAGATTAAAAAGTCCAAAAAAAAAAAATACCTGTGGTAATTTTGACATGAAACATACACACCTATGAGTATAGTCATTTTTTTAAAAGTTGGATAGTATTTCTGGTAATGTTCAGTCATTCTGCAGTGGATTAAATAATTGCTGCTCCATCCTCCATCCTTTCATTTGAGATGTAGTCTTTGGAAATTAATAAGTTGGAGCAAGAGAAGGAGAATAATTCAAGTATTATGAACTTAGGGGTTATTTGAGGCCAAAGTCTGACATGGAAGAATATTTAGAAACATGAGATGAATCAGAGAATCAAAAACTTAGGAAAAGAAATGGAAGAGAGATGGTTCTACCAGTCGACAGAGTAAATGAACAGAGAACTCTCTAAACTGCAGCTTACATAGCGTTTTATGAATAAGTTTTTAGATGTATTAGTAGTCTGTCTTAATACAACAAATGTTTACCTAGTTGTAAAAGTCCTGTATGTAGGGGTGTTCTCGGTAGCAGGCATCTGGCATCTTAATTTGCTCCAGACTCAGTCTCATGTTGTTGTGTGCTGTCGGGTCTATTCCAACTCATATTACAGAGTTGTTGTTAAGTGCCGTCGAGTCTGTTCCAACTCATAGCAACCCTGCATAGGGTTTCTGAGGAGTGGCTGATGGTTGTAGACCGCCGACATTGCAGTTCATATCAACATTGCAGTTCATCTCGACATTGCAGTTCATATCAACCAGGCCCAGTGTTTATCCTGCAACACCATAGCAGGACTCCATATTACGGAGTGTTGTTGTTGTTAAGTGGCGTTGAGTAGGTTCCCACCCATAGCAACCCTGTATAGAGTATCCGAGGAGTGGCTGGTGAGCTTAAACCGCCTACATTACGATTCAAACCGACATTGCAGTCCAGCGCATTAACCCGCAGAGCCACTCCAGGACTCCTCACTACAGAGTTGTTGTTGTTAAGTGCCTTCAAGTCGATCCATAGCGACCCTGTATAGGATTTCCAAGGAGCCGCTGGTGAGCGTTCTGACTGCAGTCTGATGCATTAGCCCACAGCGCCATGCCACAACTACTATATTACAGGATAAAACTGCCCCATAGAATTTCTTATTCTGAATCGGGCTGCTAACCTCAAGGTCGGCAGTTTGAAACTACCAGCTGTTCCGTGGGAGAAAGATGAGGCTTTCTGCTCCCGTAAAGATTTGCAGCCTCGGAAACCCTGTGCAGGGTCACTATGAGTCGGAACCGACTCCACGGCACTTAACAACAACAATCAATACAGGAGCAGATGAGTAGGTCTTTTCTCCCGCAGAGCTGCTGATGAATTTGAACCACTAAACTTTCGGTTTACAGCTGAGCGCTTAAATGTTGTGCCACCAAGCTCCATTCTCATACATAGACTGTTTTTTTTTGTGAGTGGGGTGGGGTGGGGTGGGGGGGTGGAAGATACTTTTTTTTTTTTTTTTCCATTTAAAAACCATCACAACAAAACTCTAAAATAAACCATTACCTTCCACATAGGTGGCTCTAGATGAAATGAGTTTACATTGAATCTAGAAGGGGATTTAGTTAATGCTAAAGAAAAACTTTAAGGATGAATACATCACTGAAAAAGTCTAGTTTCTTATTTATCTCCCTTGGTTCATTTTGGACAAAAGAAGACTAACTTTTTCAAAAATTCTCAAATATATGAGGAACCAGAAATAAGAGGGTTTGTTGGGCTCCACCTCCCAGAGATTCTGATTCTGCAGGTCAGGTGGGACTTGAGAGTTTACATTTCTAACAAGTGTCCATGTGATACTGGTATCACTCGTGTGAACACCACACTTTGAGAATCAGTGGGTTAAACTGTTATTTAGGATGCTTTGATGGTTTCTGAATTCCTCAGCTCACTATAACTCTTACTATTTTAGAAACATATTGAACTGGGTGAAAACATAAGAATATCTGCTTGGGGTGGTTGCCCCATTTTTTTCACACAGCTGTACTGACACTGTTTCTTTCTAAAGAAATGTTTTGAGTACAGCTCGTAGAATGTGTAAGCTCCTCACTAAAGGCTCTTTCCAAAATACCCTGCATGGACTGCTTTGCTTTCTTCCTAAAATCTTTCCCCAGGAGGGCATAGAGGAATGGATTGAAGCAGCTGTTGGCAGATGCTAGAGCAATGGATATATGGTCCCAGGACCCCAGAGCTTCCCCAAAGGGCGTTTCTGGATCAATAAACAATCTTAGAACTCCAATAATGTGATATGGAGTCCAGCAGAAAAGAAAGACAACCACCACCACCATGGCCACTTGCAAAGTTTTGCCCCGAGACTTGGAGAAGCGTCCTCGATGCATTCGGCAGATAATGAGTGTATAGCAGGCCACCATGATAATTGTGGGCAACAGGAAACCCACTACTAGTCTAGTGAAGGTTATTACTAGCAGGGGTGTTGGCACATGATTTTCATATGTGAATTGGCTAAAATTACCACCATAGTAGTTGTATGATAGCTCATATGTGTATAAGGAATTGCGAGAAACATGGGGGAGATCAGTAGAGAGAAGAGCATCAGCATTATCCAGAGAGTCAGTCCTGCCATCTTCACTGGGAAACCTCGGCAAACCATTGGGAATTGTAGGAAAGACCATATCAGCAAATTTAAATAAATCATAATAGGAGTATTGACTTGATAATCTAGATAAATTCATAGGGGGTGAATCTCTAAAAGGTCTTTGGAACGTTTGATGATGGAGATCGGTGGAAGTTGAATTGTTTGTGTAGAAAGAGGAAGAATCTAACCTATCAGCCATTTTTCCAGGGAGCTGAGCAATGAAGTCATCAAGAAATCCATTTTCCAGTAGATCAATGTCTAAATAATCTAATGAGCTGGAGGCATAAAATTTGTAGCTACACACATTATGGTTGTCTACAGTGAATATTTCCCTGTATAAGAACACAGGTATACACATTGCAAAAGCCACCACCCAGATACATCCACAGATGGCAAAGGTTGTCCTCACATTGCGGTGGTTCTGGCACCAGATTGGTTTGAGTACCACAAGGCAGCGATCCAGGCTGATGGCAGTGAGCAGGAAGACACTGGCAAACATGTTGAGGATGATGATGGAGGGGATGACCTTGCAGAGGAGCCAGCCATAGGGCCAGTGTCCTTGAAGAGCCAAGTGAGCAAGGGAGAAGGGCAGGGAGAGGCAGCAGAGAAAGTCTGCCACAGTGAGGTGGAGAAACCAAACTGTGTTCACTGTTCGCTGCATCTTTAGGCCTGCCACCCACAACACCAGCCCATTGCCTGGCAATCCCAATAAGAAAGTGAATCCTAGAATGACCATGGAGAGAATTACTTGGGGTTCATTTGAGGTCTGTGAGAGTCGTTCAGTTGAATTGGTCTCAGCAGAGAAAGATTCCATTGCCAAGCTTCTGCAAAATGATGAAAGAAAATGTTAAATCTTTATCAGTGTCTTTAAAGAAGTACATGTTCTTAGAATTCTAACCTCCTTTTCCCATATAGTGATAGAGAATCACAAAGCCAGAAGGATCTTCTACTGTTTTAATTTGTCTTCCTTGACTTCACAGTGGACGGCACAAAAATATTCTCTGATAATAAAATGTGGTACTTACATACAATGGAATACTATGCAGCCATAAAGAATAATGATGAATTCTCAAAATATATTGCAACATGGGTGAATCTGGAGGGCATTATACTGAGTGAAAGAAATAAGTCACAAAAGAACAAATACTGTATGATCTCACTATTTAGTGACGAGACAGAGAATGGCAAAATGGATAAGAAAAGAAAAATCTTTCAAAACGCTGCCTTCAAGAGACACTATATATATATAAAGACAAAAACAGGTTTACAAATTAAAACCTATGATCACTGGTGGTTACCAGGGATAGGAGGGTCTGGATGTGGTGGTAGTAGGGATTGCTCTCTAGATAGCAGGCATTTGTTATCTCTTGTGATGGGAAATTAACACCAATCATGGGTGAAGTGTACACAGCTTGACCAAGGTAAATGATGTCACTAGGAAGTATGCAATTAAAAAGGACATTTTTTCATAAATGATATAACATATACGACAGTGCAACAACAACTAAAAAATAGGAATGTAGTTACATGTATATGTGTGTATGCCTACAAGTATATAGATATGTATCTGTGTGTATAAAAGTAAGCAAATATAGATGTATCTATGTTGTGGTTGTTACATGCCATCAAGTTGGTTCTGACTCATAGTGACTCTGTGTAGAGTTACTGAGGCTGTAAATCTTTGTGGGATCAAAAAGCTTCATCTTTCTCTGTGGAACAGATGGTAGACTGGAACCACAAACCTAATGGCTAGCAGTACAGTTTGTGTGTGTGTGTGTGTGTGAATTGAGTGATAGTTTACATGGGAGAACACTGGTTTTGTACTCATCCTATTGTATTTCGTTTCATTGCAATGATTATAATCCCCTCTTTGTGCATTGTCATTCAACAGTATTTGCTTCTATTCCCTCTGTTTTTTTGTGGTTTTTTTTTGGGGGGGGGGAGGGGTTTGGATGTACACAAAAATACTCAGGGATATATAAACATTTAAACAACCAAAGGGCACATTCTGCAAGCCTGCCTCCTGAGCGCTAGTACACAGCCTTTCCTTTTCCATGAGACTAGAGACCTCAGCTGCTCTATCTCTTCATGTCCTCATCTCTGTCTCCATCTCTGGTGTCGCTGCTTCTCTGGAGAGGGTCCCACATTCCACTCATGCTCTTCTCCCTTGATGGTCCTAGGGTCCATTAACTATTTTCCCCTTTATGTTACAAAACTTATACCTTTACAATTGTGACAATTGCAATTAGTCATGATAACAATTGCTCACTGTTGAGTCATAAGAATTTTATCCCCATCTCCTTTCACCAGACCTATCTTTTGGTTGGCTTTCTGAGGGAGCTTTAACAAGTACCACTTTTTGGCTACTTTCTCTATATGCATCAATAACTTTTATGCTATCTGTAGTATTTTTAAATCTGTCCTTCTTAACAACAGTCAAGAATATATTGCCTTTAAAAACTAGCAGTCCAGTTCTTATTCTACAGAGCCACCAGATGTTTCTATGTACAGATATATATGTGTGTGTGTGGCTTGGTGGGATAATGAACTAGATTACAAGGTCAGTTTGAACTGGAAGGTCAGTGGTTCAAGCTCACCAGCCACTCCTTGGAAACCCTATACAGTATTGTTATGAGTCAGAACTTACTCGATGGTACTTAACAACAACAACATATGTGTAAGTATATGCATCCATTTAAATTAATATATATATGTACAATAAGGCATATAGGACGAACAAACATGGATACTTCTTAGACTTAACCAGATAACTTCACAGGATGGGAGGGTCTGAAGGCTTAGGACCATAGTCTCATGGGATAACTCAGTCAATCAGCATAATATAGTACCTAAAATCTATGTTGTACATCTCAGTTTGGTGAGTAGTATCTGGAGTCTCAAGAACTTATGAGAGGTCATCTAAGACACAACCATTTATCTCTGAGTGTCTGGAGGAAGAAGACAACCAAAGATCCAAAGAAGAAACCAGTCCACAGGACTAAGTCTATGGGAACCATGATCTCATCTACCCTGAGACTAGGTGAATTGGATGGTGTCTGATGGGCAAAACAGACCATCTGATCAGGAGTACAATATAATAATCCTGATAGAATAGAAGCAAAAGGTGGAACACAGTTCAAATCTTCAAAAAGCCCAGATTTGCTGATTTACTGGACCAGTTGAGATTGAACGCTCTGAGACTATCACCCTGAGATACTTTTTAAACCTTGAACCAAAAGTATTTCATGAGGTCATTTTTTCAGCGAAGTAACACACATTGATTCACAAAACAAGCAGTATCATTTGTGAGGACTGTACTCTTTTAAAATTTTTCCTATAATACTAGATGTTCAATGTTTACTCAAAAGCAAAGACAAGAAGACAAGGGGTCAGGGAAACTAGATTACTGGAAACAGAACAACCAGTAATGAGAAAGCTGACACACTGTGAAAAATGTAACCATTGTTACTGAAAAAATTGTATTGAGAACCTAATTTTCTGTGTAAACTTTCACCAAAAACACAATAAAAAATTTAACAGCAACAATAAACTCAGGAAATTAAAAATCTGCTGTATTGATTTAAGTCTGTATCAAAATGGTAATCTCATTTGGAAGTCTGTACCAATATAAATTTCTCTTCATTTTTGGACTTCTAAGCTTCCATTCTCTTCAGCTAACTAGTGTTTCCTATTAACAACATATAAATATACTAAATGAACAGAGACTTCTAGGTGAGAAGTTCCCAACCTAAGAGTCCATGAAAGGACTTTAGAAAGGTTTATAGTCATTTAAAGTTATATGTAAATATAGTTGCTGTTGGCCATCAAGTTGTTCCTGACTCATAGTGATCCTGTATAGGGTTTCCAAGGAGTGGCTCGTGAGTTTGAACCATCAGCCTTGTGATTCACACCGACCTTGTGATCCAGTGCTTCATACCACAGCATCACACCAGGACTCCACATGTAAATGTTAACACTATGTATTTTCATGTTTTTGAACACAGAAGGTGCATCTAGACCCTCCATCAGATTTTTGAAGGCACTTAACTACCATAAAAAGAAGTGCCTGGACTCAAACCTACAGGAAAAATATAAAACAACATAGGCAGACCAACTGTTACTACAAGAACAAGCAACTTGCTTGCCCA